GCCCAGCGCCCCCGCCCCTGCCCCCGCCTCCTCCCCGCGCTCCCCTCCCCCAGCAACCACACACGCACACGCACACACACACAAACAGAGAGAGAAGGGGGGGGGGGCAGGGTGAGAGAGAGAGAGGAGAGAGAGAGAGCGAGGAGAGACTCCCGGGCTCCCTCCCTCCCTCGCACACAGCGACTGGAGACGGACGGAGAGCAACGCGCTGGGAGAGGAGAGACCACCGAGAACAGCCCCGCGCTCTCACACATACACGCACACTCCGCTCTTTCCTCTCCCCCCACCTCCTCCTCCTTCCACCCCCACCACTAACACCATCTCCTCCTCCTGCTCTCTGCAACAAGAAAAAAAAAAAGCCATTTACAGGTATTTTTTTTTGATCCGCATATTTATTTATCCCCCCCTCCCCAACAGTTTGTTTACAAGTATTAAAGTTGTAATTGGGAGCTGCCAAGACACATCTGGATTTGTGTTTCTTTGTGTTAGGGGTGATGTGCAACTAATTAAAGGCAGACTGGCAGCGTCTGCAAATTCTAAGGCTCCCCAAATAAAAAGAGACTGGTAAGTGATTGTTCTTTCTCTTTCTCTGGCTTTTTTTTTTTTTTCCTCTCTCTCTCTCTTAAATGTGTGCTGTCCGTTGGGATTGTAAAAGTAGATTATTAATGCTGGACTCCAGCTATAAAAGGCGTCGCTGTATTAATTTATTAATTAATCTGCACCCGCCCCTCCTCCTGAATGTTAAATATGACCTTTGATCTCTATGTCTCTGCTAGACCAGACGTACAATATTAGACATGTACAGTCACATTGTTTGAAGGCAAAACAGGATCATGAAGTGTGGATGTCTAATGTAGCTTTGGAATAGGACTAGAGTTATCTGTGTGTTTTATTTTGCTTTTTTAAAGAAAATCCAAACAATAGCTGCGGTTTAGGTACCTTGTTCATGCTCCAGCGAGGCATTGATTAAACAATAATGACCTGGATCCTGGGCACAGTCCTTTTCTAGTTTCTGGTGGCATTAAACCTTGAGGGAGGAAGGGGGAGGTGATGGCAATAAGAAAAGCCAGGGAAGCTTCTGTTTGGAAACACCACTCTAATACTCTGGAAAATAAAGGCTATTAAAATATTTTTTTATGTGGAACAAGGTCGAAAAGACTAAAAGGTTAAAAAATTTCCCTCCACTCAATGTGATGATATCTAATGCATGGTTGGAATAACTAGTTTTTACTGAGTAGCAGTTATTATGGTCTTGGAGTTATAATGTGATTCGCAGGAACTGAAGCTATATGCATATTCTTGCTGTGTCTTACCCCACCCCCTTCCAGGCATCAAGAATATTTAGCCAGGAGCATTTTGGGGTACCCTTTGTATTGCCATGAGAGCTCTGAAGGGAGCAGTTTTTCCTAATGCGAAACCACAGAGGTGGTTCCTGAGTGATTAGGGACTTGCTGTGATTGAAAGATGCCTGCTAGCTTCTAATCCAGCCTGGGGTGAGGTTCCTTATCTTGATTTACTTTGCGTAATAGGGATTTGTTTACATAAACCCCTCTTTTTAGGGCACCTTATCAGCAGGTCTTGAAGTTTTTGCACTTGGAGTTTGGGCAGAAATGGTTCATTAATCTAATTATAAGCATAATTACTATAATTGATATGCATTTTGAACTGAATGTATGAGACTGAGACTACTGGGCCCCATTTAGAATTCCCTAAACTCCACATTCTAGAGACCAATATGTGGGCTTCAAAAGATGTCACAAAAAGATATTCTGGCCTAAAAAAATAATAATCTGGAAACAAAGAAACTGGATTTTTAGGTTAATATACACTTTATGTCTTTGCTTTTCTTCTTAAAAGGCTGTGGTGTACCTCTCCCTTTGGAATAAACAACTAAAATACCTCTTCCTAAAGCAAAATAATGGTTTGTAAGCAAAGAGATGAATGCAAATATCCAGTTAACATTAAACTTTCCTCTTAAAAGGAGCAAAAGAAAAACATAATTTTGATGGTTATTTCTTCAGGTAAACAACACCTTAAGAGACACCCCTCTTCCCCAATTTACTTAATGTAAAAACCAGTGACTGTGAGAAATTTAAAAAAATTTTTTTTAAAAAAAGTCCCATGCTTTCTTCTTGGGAAGAGACAGGAACCTCCATTAGGAATTATTGGAAATATTCTTATGGAGGCTGCAGGCAGTTGGTTTAAAACCTGTGACATTATTGGTGTTACTTAAAAAAAATTTTTTTTAAATTGAGTCCATCTTTCTTTTCTTTCTTTGAAACAAGTAGAACACCACCCTCTTACCCCCACCAAGCCCCACCACCAAATGGCTTGTACAATTGAGACCTGTCCTTGGTCCTTTGAATTAAGACCCTAACAGAGCCAGCTGTGCTGGGATTCAAACTAATGACCGCAGACACAGAAGGACACTGTGG